CCCTCTTGTTCTTACATCAGTCAGGTATCAAAGAAACCTTTCTATATAGACTGCCCACAAGGTAGGGTAGTTATAATAGGAAAATGGAGAGAAAGAAATGACATTTCACAGTTTTTGAGTTTCTAGTAAATTCAGAGGAAAGGTTCTGACCTTTACCAGCCTACCTTTCTATCAGGGTAATCTCTTCAGTTCTATATTTCTGTTCACCTTCAGCTGTGTTAAAATAGTCCTTTAACATATTCACTGAGGTATTTTTTTTGTTTTTAAAAACAATTACACTTTCATCTCCTTTTTTTTTTTTTTTCACTCTGTCGCCCAGGCTGGGGTGCAATGGAGCAATCTCGGCTCACTGCAACCTCCGCCTCCTGGGTTCACTGCAACCTCCGCCTCCTTGCCTCAGCCTCCCAAGTAGCTGGGATTACAGGTGCGCACCACCACACCCAGCTAATTTTTGTATTTTCAGTAGAGACGGGGTTTCACCATGTTGGTCAGGCTGGTCTCAAACTCCTGACTTCATAATCTGCCCACCTCAGCCTCCCAAAATGTTGGGATTACAGGCGTGAGCCACCATGCCCGGCCTACACTCTCATTTCTAAAAGTTTTGTTAGGTTCCGTGGCAAACCTGCCTAATAATTTTTATAGTTTATTGTTGTTTTCTCTTTTTGTGATTTCATCTTTTATTTATTTATTTTTTGATGGAGTATCGTTCTGTTGCCCAGGCTGGAGGGCAGTGGCACAATCTTGGCTCACTGCAGCCTCCATCTCCCAGGTTCAAGTGATTCTTCTGCCTCAGCCCCCCAAATAGCTGGGATTACAGGCACGTGCCACCACACCTGAGTAATCTATTTTTAGTAAAGTCAGGGTTTTGCCATGTTGGCCATGCTAGTCTTGAACTCCTGACCTCAGGTGTTCCAACCGCCTTGGCCTCCCAAAGTGCTGGGATTACAGGCGTGAGCCACCGTGCCCAGCCTCATCTTTTATTTCTTTAAATATCTCATACTTTATTCATTTATATTGTGTATTGATTATCATGATATCTTAGATCCCTGAGGTCTAAATCTTGTTTCTGTTGATAGTCACCCTTGGTAGTTTCTTTCTTTGTGTATTTGGTACAGGATCTACTTGTTTTGAAGAAGGAATGTCCTTTAGCATTTCTTGTTTGCCATGTTGCATGAAGAAATAGAATTAGGAGCTTCTCAACTCATGTGTCATGAGTGGGTCATTGGTATGCTGAGATACTTACCCTTTCAGCTAGTTAGTCATCACTATTTATGACCTGCTTTGTCTATTATCTTAATGTGCTAGGCACAAGGAAATAATCAAGTGGGATATTTGGATCAGAGGGCTGGAAATTATTCGAAATCATTAAGGAATAATCTTGCTTCTTAAAGGAAGTAAGGTAGATTAAGGCATCTGATGATTAATTGACACTGCAAATTATTTTCTTTTTTTTGACACTGCAAATTATTTTCAATTAAAATATAATCCCAGGTTGTTACCTGTAGCATCCTGAATCAAGTAATCATATTAAATTTCATGTTATTATTACTATTATTATGAACCCAAATAACTGTATACAAAAAAACAGAGCCCGATAAATATTCAATTCTAAACTACTTATAAAATCCAATACTTTATTCTGGTCTTTAGTCATCAACTAACAGAAGACAATAGAAGCTGTGTGTTGTAGTGAAAAGTATCAGATTTGGTGTCATAAGATGTGAGCTCTAATCCTGACTAAATTGCTCTCTATCCATATGACTTCAGGTAAAACTTCTTTTCAGTATGTTTTCCAATTGTGGGGAACAAATGAACAGCAATGCAACTGACTTTTGTGGATGGTTTATTGGGTGGGACAAGCACTAAGCATAGAGTTTGGCAGGTTCTGTTCCCCATTTTGCACTTGAGTATGTGGAGTATGTGCTTAAGACAAAAACACTTTTTGAGATAAACCGCAATCTAAATACTTTGTTTCAGCTTGTTTTCAAAGTAACCTTTTACATTTATTTTTTAGGAAGGATGTTGTACTTCATTATTCAACTTTATTTGAACATGGAAAAATATTTTTGAAAACATGGGACATGGAAAAATATTAAAAACTTAATATATTTTTTATCATGTTAAGAAAACCCAGATTTCTAGAATCTAATTTATAGTCATAATATAAAATATTGACCATCTGTAAATGTGTCAACTTTCCCCAAATTAATCTCTAGAATCAATGTAACTGCTATTAAAATCATTAAAAGGAGGTACAATGACAATCTGGATTTAAACGTTAAAAATCTAAGGCACGGCCGGGCGCGGTGGCTCACGCCTGTAATCCCAGTACTTTGGGAGGCCGAGGCGGGCGGATCACAAGGTCAGGAGATCGAGACCACAGTGAAACCCCGTCTCTACTAAAAATACAAAAAATTAGCCGGGCACGGTGGCGGGCGCCTGTAGTCCCAGCTACTCAGGAGGCTGAGGCAGGAGAATGGCGTGAACCCAGGAGGCGGAGCTTGCAGTGAGCCGAGATCGCGCCACTGCACTCCAACCTAAGGCACAACTAGGAATAGAAAGAAACTCTTTCAACATAATAAAGGCTATTTATGAAAACCCTACAACTAACATCATGCTAAATGGTAAAAGATTAAAACCTTTTTCTTTAAGATCAGAAACAAGACGAGGATGCCCACTTTTGCCACTTCTATTCTACATGGTACTAGAAGTCCTGGCCAGAGCAATTAGGCAAGAAAAAGAAATCAAAGGTATTCAAACTGGAAAGGAAGAAGTACAAAGATGACATGACTTTGTATATAGAAAATCCTAAAGATTCCACAAAAACCTGTTAGAATGAATAAACAAATTCAGCAAAGCTGCAAGATGTAAAATCAACACAGAAAAATCAATTGCATTTCTATACACAAACAATGACTAATCCTAAAAGGCAATTAAGAAAATGATTAAGGCCAGGTACAGTGACTCACTTCTGTAATCCCAGCACTTCGGAAGGCCAAGGCAGGCGGAGCACTTGAGGCCAGGAGTTTGAGATCAGCCTGGTCAACAAAGTGAAACACTGTCTCTACTGAAAATACAAAAAGTTAGCCAGGTGTGGTGGTGCATGCCTGTAATACCAGCTACTTGGGAGGCTGAGGCATGAGAATAGCTTGAACCTGGGAAGTGGATGTTGCAATGAACAGAGATCATGCCACTGCACTCCAGCCTGGGCAACAGAGTGAGACTCTGTCTCAAAAAATAATAATAATAATAATAAATTTAAAATATCAAAGAATAAAATACTTAGGAATAAGCTTAACCAAAGAGCAAAAGTCTTATACACTGAAAACCACAAAACGTTGATGAAAAAAATTAAAGACACAAACAAATGGAAAGACACCTGTGTTTGTGGACTGAAAAGACTTGGGGGGTTGTGTGTGTGTGTGTGTGTGTGTGTGTGTGTTTACAGTTGGGGTCTTGTTTTGTTGCCCACCCTGGAGTGCAGTGGCATGATCCTAGCTCACTGTAGCCTCGAACTCCTGGGCTCAAGCAATCCTCTCAAGAAGCTAGGACTACAGATGTACACTGCTGGGCCCAGCTAAATTTTTAAAAAGTTAATTTTGTTACGTAGTTGATGTTGGTGCTCCACCCAGAGCCCCTTAGATCCTTTCTTCACTTATTTTGGTTATTTTCCCTAGAGTCTGCTTTGCTCAAACACAGAGACCCTTAGAAGTACTTGGAACTTTATGGTCCCTCGGATGGCCCCAATCCCATGACCGATACATGTGAGAGTATGAAGACTCTAGCTCCCTCATCTGAGATAGAGACAATTCTGAGGCATAAATTTCATTCTAGAGCTCCCTTGTATGATCCAGCTAAAGCTATGCTTTGCTGGACTTTTGAGAGTTCAGCCTTGGTTGACTTCTTCATATTCCCTGTCCTGCTTCTCCCACTCCCTTGCTAGTTTCCCCTGGGAGCACTTCTTTAATAATCACTTGGACACAAATTATGGTCTCAAGATCTGCAACTGGGAACCTGACTTAACAACACCTAAGGATAAATAGAGAATTACTATGAATTTACCTTTTATAATTGATGTTGAGATTGGCAGTCATGACGACTCCCCCAGCCATCAATGCACACATACCAACAGTACTATCAATCATGGTTGCAATGGCACCTCCATGAACGAATCTGGTTACAAGAGTGGAGGAGAAATGTTTTCAGAAGTTCTGAAGATAGAGAGCCTCTTGAAAGAGAGAAATTATCCAAGCATCTTCACACAATTTACTTATGAAAGGTCCACTTAGCCCATGTTCAGCGTACTGAATGCCAAACACTATTTATGTCCCCAACTTTATTTTGTTCACAGCATAATAGTATAGTCTTAAGTATTTGTAATAAAACCAGAACTTAATAGTAACCAGATCACAAGCAGGCAAAAAGCTAAAATATAATTTAGAACATTTATATTATATTTTTATTATTAGTCAAGTGTGGTGTCATGTGCTTGTAGTCCCAGCTACTCAGGAGGCTGAGGTGGGACGATCGCGTGAGCCCAGGAGTTCGAGGCTGCAGTAAGCTATGATCATGCCACTGCACTTCAGCCTGGGCAACAGAGCAAGACCTTGTCTCACAAAACAAAACAAACTATACATACTAATTGTTTAGAAATTTAGGTAATGCAAATATGAAAAAAAAGAAAAAAAAATTTAAGACCCATAATACTACCCACCTAGTCAGTGACAAGCCACTGTTAACACATTAATGACATGCTCTCAAACTATACTGTTGCCCTGTGCCCTATAATATAATGCTCTTTAATATATTAAACATTTAATCAATATTAATAATATAGATAAGATGTTCTTTAATAATATATTATAAACATCTTTCCATGTCAATAAATATACATCTACATGACCATTTGAAAATCTTCATTGTAGTCCACGGACAGGACACATGGTGGCACTGTAAGATAACATTTTTTTAGATCCACACTTTCAGGCTATCATTCTTACCCAGGTGGTCCTTCCAGGTAAGGGCCTCCTTGAAATAAGCAAACCATCCTTTTCTCGACGTCACTGTAGAACATCACGTATTCAAAGCCCAGGCCATCATCAAAGCTTCTGGTGAAGAGCTGGGTCTGTGACATTTGTTCTTCTTTCACAAGCTTTGGGTCTATAGAAAATGAGGTGGATGGCAAATGAGAACCAAGGGTGAGAGAAATGCCATGGCAGAGCCAAGCACCTGTACCCTGCTAGAATCACATGTCAATGGATGATTGACTCAAATGTCCACAGGGTGCAAAATTAAAAGGAATGGGAGGGTCTCAATGAAACAGAAGATAGGATCTTTGCCCTTGTGGAATTAACAGTCCAACTGGGGACAGAGTCAAACAGACATGAAATCAAATCAAAGTACCCACACATGGCAATCAGGAATACAGTATATAAATGCTAACAATATACTGAATAAAATGGTACGGTAAAGACAGAAACCCTTCTTGGAAGAACTGTGGTTTAAATGCAATTTACAGAAAATAAAAAACGTTAATAGAAAGGAGGTTTCCCTGGCAGACATGAGTTTAGCTTGAATCAGCAACAGGGTCAGTTCAGCCCAATACTCATGTGATTGTGATTCTAAGCCCCCAAAACTGGCAGTTAGAACCATTAGGGTTCATGAAATCAGACTGTGGGTTGTAATCAGGTTTTTTTCTTTTTTGGACGGAGTTTCGCTCTTATTGCCCAGGCTGTAGTGCAAAGGTGTGATCTCAGCTCACTGCAAACTCCGCCTCCCGGGTTCCAGCGATTCTCCTGCCTTAGCCTCGCGAGTAGCTAGGATTACAGGCGCCCACCACCACACCCGGCTAATTTTGTATTTTTAGTAGAGATGGGGTTTCTCCATGTTGGTCTGGCTGGTCTTGAACTCCTGAACTCAGGGATCTGCCTGCCTCGGCCTCCCAAAGTGCTGGAATTATAGGCGTGAGCCACGGTGCCCGGCCATTTACTAGGCTTTAAAAAGAAACAGAACACTTAGATAACAGAACCATATATTCTGGGTAAATAATAGTGCACTTGTTTAGACAATTTTTTTTTTCACTTACAAAATTGTGAGCAAGTTGGGGGAACTGGACTGAGTCAAAATATAGGTCACTTCAAAATAAAGATTGAAAGCCATTGCTCTCAAGAAATGGTGCGGCCAGGCGCGGTGGCTCAAGCCTGTAATCCCAGCACTTTGGGAGGCCGAGATGGGCGGATCACGAGGTCAGGAGATCGAGACCATCCTGGCTAACACGGTGAAATCCTGTCTCTACTAAAAACACAAAAAATGAGCCGGGCGTGGTGGCGGGCGCCTGTAGTCCCAGCTACTCGGGAGGCTGAGGTAGGAGAATGGCGTGAACCCGGGAGGTGGAGCTTGCAGTGAGCTGAGATCCGGCCACTGCACTCTAGCCTGGGCGACAGAGCGAGACTCCGTCTCAAAAAAAAAAAAAAGAAATGGTGCATTTATCCTTTTGTATCTGTTTTAAAATTTAATCCCCCTACTCACCATTCTTTCATATCTCATCATGATTTGCCACATGTAAAACTCTTTCTATTGAATTTAGATTTACAAACGTGGAAAAGGATACAGATGAGAGCATCCAGGAAAAGTGGGGAGAGGGACAGGAAGGATGCCTTTTACTTAGGTCATGAGCATCCCAGGGCAGGCACCCTGTCTTTTAGACCTTGCATACCCAACAAATGGCACAGATGTGCACATACTATATACACTTAAGCAGCTGTTGAGTGAATTGATGGTTTAGAAGGCCGGACAAGGAAACTTAAAGTTGGGGATCAGTATTATGGTGCAGTGGAAAGAACTTTGGCCCGTGAGTTGGGAAAATTAAATTACTGGCCTACCTCTGGCCTAGAACTCACTCTTTTGCACCGTACTTTATCCATACAATGAGGAGATAAAATAAAATGAGCTCTAAGATTTCTTCCTGCCGGGCGCGGTGGCTCACACATGTAATCCCAGCACTTTGGGAGGCCGAGGCGGGGGGATCACGAGGTCAGGAGATGGAGACCATCCTGGCTAACACCGTGAAACCCCATCTCTACTAAAAATACAAAAAATTAGCCGGGCGTGGTGGCGGGCGCCTGTAGTCCCAGCTACTTGGGAGGCTGAGGCAGGAGAGTGGCGTGAACCCGGGAGGCAGAGCTTGCAGTGAGCGGAGATCGCGCCACTGCACTCCAGCCTGGGCGATAGAGGGAGACTCCGCCTCAAAAAAAAAAAAAAAAAAAAAAAAAAAGATCTCTTCCAACTCTGACATTCCAGGACTTCAGGATAAGATAGGTGTTAAGCGCTTCTAATTTTTTTACTTAGGAGTTTGAAATTTCTAGTCTAGATTATCAGACCTTGAGCTTATTTCATAAAAATGAGAAAAATAATGTCTGGGTTGAGTTAAAATGTAGGTCATTTCAAAATAAAGACCAAAAACGACTGCTCTCAAGAGGATGCATTTGTCCTTTGTGATGGTGAAAGAAGTTCGTTGGAAATGTAGAATCTCAGGTTCTACCTCTGACCTTTTGAAGCAGAACGTGCATTTTAACAAGATTCCTAGGTGCTTCATGTTCATTTTTAAGTCTGAAAGGCAATAGTATTTTAAGAAATGGGATAACACTGAAAATGAGATTTGCATTTTGAATCATTCTAACAGTTGAGTGGAGGAAGGGCTTTGAGGAGGATAAGAATGCAGACAGGAAACTACAAAAATCACAATCACCAAACTTATCTGCTAGATGGTGTGATTTTCTCTAGCAATGCTTAACTACATGAAAGCCTGTTCAAAGTAAAGATGGCAGATGGTTGGATTCATCCAGGGCTGGGGTTTTTCTAGGTTAAGTGGACTACAGAAGTTCAGATAGATGAGGGCTATGGGACCATGAGAAAGTAAAGGATTCAATGAACTCAGAAGGTCTTAATGAAATAATAATTGTTTCTGAGGGGCCTTTGAATAAGTAAGCTGCTGAAAGGAAAAATGCTGTCATCAGAAAACAGGATGTTTAAATGTATGCATTTGGAGGCTGTGTACTGTCTGAAGATAAGGCTCAAGATGTTCATGGGAGTGTGTGCCTGGGGCTGGGGGATAAGAAAAGTTCATGGGTGATGAGGAAGCACATAAACTGAGGAGCCACTGTGTGGATGCTCGAGTTGCTGAGAATGCTGAATGGAGTTGGGTAGATAGTGGACCAACTGCTGAAATACTCAAACACTGAGGGAGAGGTTGGCAGATGACAGCAACAAGGAGGGGAAGAGGTGACAAATTTAGATGGTATAAACTCAAAGAAACGAGGGATTTTTTTTTTTTTTTGACAGAATCTTGCTCTGTCACCCAGGCTGGTCTCAAACTCCTGGCCTCAAGTGATCTGCCACTTTGGCCTCCCAAAGTGTTGAGCCACTGTGCCCAGCCCAGAGGGCTTTCTAAGATGAGGGGAAGTAATGGCTTGAAAACAAGTGTGGGTAGCAAAGAGGACCTCAAACTCCTCTTGATTCTGAGAGGGTCAAATTTTAGTCAAGAGCGAATGAGGGTTGGATAAAGAAATGAGCAAAACCATGTAGGAATGGAACCCTGGAAAACACTGACATTTAAGGAGCAAGTAGAAGGAGGAGGGAAGATTGGTCTGAAAGGTTTATGAAAGCCAACAGAAAATGTTTCAATGAGAATAAGACAGGGAGGTCTAGTACAGTAAGTGCTGAAGAATGCACACTGAATTTGGCACTTCAGTCACTAGTAGCTTCAACGAAGGCATTTCAGTAGAGCTGTTAGGGTAGAAGTCAGATTGTGCTGGGGTAAGGACAGTCAGTTGTGTGATATGCTAACAGTTGGAAGAGAATTAGTAATACAAACTACACATTTTTCCTCTTCATTTATAAAACAGAATAATTATTCCCTTGAGATATATCAGAGATTCTGCAAAGAATCTTAAGAACTCTATAATTTTTCTTGATTAGTTTTATTTTTGTTTTATTAATTCCTTCAGCAAATACTAAAGTATCTACCATGAGGAAACTGAGGCAAAGAAAGGTAAAGTGCCTTGCTCAAAGTTGCACAGCTTTAAATTGTGGAACCAGAATTTAAACCCAGGCACTAAATTTCAATCATTTAATTAAGAAGTTGTCAACTTTTGGATGGTCTCTAAAGCTGAGAGACTGCATGAGATTACCAATGGAGTGTGGAGAAGACAGGAGTACTAAGGACTGAGACTTGAGGGCACCCTAACATGAAGGGTTTGAGAATGGGGAGGAAAGAGCACAAAAAATTGAAAAGGAGGGACCAGTGAAGTGGAGAATGTGGTGTCCTGGAAATTACGTTCAAGTAGAAAGGAGTCACCAGCTGTGTCAAAAGCTGAGAGAGGTTAGTGGACTCAGCAACATGAAGGTCACTGGTACCCTTGGCAAGAGCTGTTTTGAGGGAGTGGGTTCAAGATAGGCTGGGCACAGTGGCTGATGCCTGTAGTCCCAGCACTTTGGGAGGCCAAGGTGGGGCAGATCACTTGAGGTCAGGAGTTCGAGACCAGCCAGGCCAACATTGTGAAACCCTGTCTGTACTAAAAATACAAAAATAAGCCGGGTGTGGTGGTGTGCACCTGTAATCCCAGCTACTTGAGACGCTGAAGTGGGAGAATCACTTGAACCCAGGAGGCGGAGGTTGCAGTGAGCCGAGATCATGCCACTGCACTCCAGCCTGAGTGACAGAGGGAGACTCATTCTCGAAACCAACAAAACAAAACAAAACAAAACAAACAAAAACAAAACAAAACAGAGAGAGAGACTGGGAAGAGAGAAATGCAGTTGTGGCATATTTATATGCTGACAAGAAACATCTAGCAGAGATGGATGTCCTTCAGTAGGCCAAAGAAAATGGAATGCAGCACACAAATGGAAGGCTGGGTCTCCCTGAGAGTGTGGATGGTTCACTCATAGCAGGAAGAAGCAGAACATCAGGCACAGATGCAGGGAGGAGGATATGTGAGGCAATGGGAGACTGGAAGTTCTCTTCTGACTGCTTTTATTGCCTCTTAGTGAGATAGGAAGCAAGACCAACTGAGGGTGAGAAGGGAAAAGAAAGTATTAGAGGCATAAGAAGAAAGAAAAAGGCAGAAAATAGTCATCCAGTAAGGGAGGAGAGTGAATAAACCAGGGAAACATGAAGGAAGGTTGTTGGGCAATATTAAGAGCCTTCTTTTTCTTTTCTTTTTTGTGGGGGGGAGACAGGCTGTTGCCCAGGCTGGAGTGCAGTGGCGCGATCTCAGCTCACTGCAACCTCTGCCTCCTGGATTCAAGTAATTCTCCTGCCTCTGCCTCCCATGTAGCTGGGATTACAGGTCCCCACCACCACGCCCAACTAATTTTTTTTTTATTTTTAGTAGAGACGGGGTTTCACTATGTTGGTCAGGCTGGTCTTGAACTCCTGACCACAAGTGATCCGCCCGCCTCAGTTTCCCAAAGTGCTGGGATTATAGGCATGAGCCACAGTGCCCAGCCCAAGGGCCTTCTTAAAAGTCAGTTAAAAAAAAAAAACCACCACCACCTAAAGATGTGTTTGGATGATTAAAAGATAATGAGTAACTCAGAAATATCTGTGAATGATTCAATATACTATAATGACAGACATCTCTCATTACACAGTTGTTAAAACCCACGGAAAACATAACACAAAGAGTGAACCTTAAAACAAACTATGCACCTTAATTAAGAGTAATATATCAATATTGGCTCATCAATTGTAACAAATACACCACAGTAATAATTCAAGATGTTAATAACAGGAGAAATTAGGGGTGGGGAGGGGATGAAGGGTATATGGAAACTCTCTGTACTTTGGGCTAATTTTTCTACAAAATTATAATGCTAAAAAAGTATATTAGTAAAAAAACACAGAAGGATAGGAAGTGCAATGTGTGTGTTTTGGGTGTAGGGTGGGTTGCCCTGGGGATTTAGATACTGGGAGATGTGGGTGTAACCTGAGTGTTCTGAGCTTCTTAGGGTGATATAAACAAACATGGGATAAAGGGCGAAATGAGATTAGATGATAGCCTCGAGACATAGAGGCGATGAGGTTGTAGGAGGGTGGAAGCTCTCTGGGGCCCTTTCTTCACTCTTGCTAATGGTGATAAGAATGCCAGGGTGGGAGCAGTCTTATTCTTGACAATAGGCTTTATGCGCTCCAATCTGCAAAATTTATTGTGATTTCTGGTCTATAAAACTGGTGACTATAGAATATAATCCTGCATTATACTCTTTCTTTTTTCAGGTAGTAACTAGTACTTCAATCTGTTCTTAGTTTTATATTTGATGCTCAGATATATTAATGAGAAAGTGGCTGTTTCTACCAAGCAAATGGGTTTTGAAGTCTTGAATCTTTTCAGCAGGTATACGTTTATATGAAGGCAAACGTTTCCAGGAGCCGTCTTCACATTTCTTCATAAACTGGTCAAAGAGCAGTCTTAGGTCCTTGTTCCAGCTGGGGTTGGGGACAGAATAATCCTTAAGAATGACTTCCTCAGAAGAAAATGACCTCTAAAAGACAGAAGAAAAAGAAGAGTGAGTAATGGGAGGTGCATTCTATTTCATAACATATTCTCCCAATTTCTAAGACTATTTTGCTGCTTTCTTCTCCCCATAAGCTTGTCACTTCAAAATGGAAGGGAATTTCAGGGATCACCTGGTCCAACCTCCTTGGGAAAATGAGAGATTGAGAGAGGGAAAATGATTTGCTCAACATCACTCAGCGAGCTATTGACAGAGCCAGCATTATGCTCAGGTCTGCTGATTCCATTCTTTTTTTCAAACTTTAATCAAGCACAGGTGAACCCAAGACACTGGAGATGGAGGTGAAGAACAGACATTATCTTAAATGTTAAAAGCTCTTCCAGTGGCTATGCACAGGAAGTCAGGGGATACGGGAGAAGTATTCATCTAGGATTAGGGGTTCAGGAAGGGGTCCTTTGACTTGAATATTGATTAGATAAGCAGAAATTAGCCAGCTGGAAAAAGTATTACAGGCAAAAAACCAAAACAAAACAAAACAAAAAGAACACTGGAATATAGTTTGGATGTGTGTTCCCGCTCAAATCTCATATTGAAATGTAATCCCCAATGTTGGAGGTGCGGCCTGGTGACAGGTGAATGGATCACGGGGGTGAATTTCTCATGAACGGTTTAGCACCACCCCTTGGTACTGTCCTCATGATAGTGAGTTCTCATGAGATCCGGTCGTTTAAAAGTGTATAGTACCTCGTGCCTTGCACTCTTGCTCTTGCTGTGTCCATGTGAAATGCCTGCTCCCACTGTGCCTTCTGCCATGACTGTAAGTTTTCTTGCTTCCTTTTCTTTTTTTTTTTGAGACAAAGTCCCACTCTGTTGTCCAGGTTGGAGTGTAGTGGCGCGATCTTGGCTCACTGCAACCTCCACCTCCTGGGTTCAAGTGACTCTCCTGCCTCAGCCTCCCAAGTAGCTGGAGTTACAGCCCCACCACGCCCGGCTATTTTTTGTATTTTTAGTAGCGATGAGGGTTCACCATGTTGGTTAGGCTGGTTTCGAACTTCTGACCTCAGGTGATCTGCCCACCTCGGCCTCCCAAAGTGCTGGGATTACAGGAGTGAGCCACTGTGCCTGGCTGGCTGTAAGTTTTCTAAGGCCTCCCCAGCAGCCAAGCAGATGCCATCATCATGCTTCCTGTATAGCCTGTAGAAATGTGAGTCAATTAAACTTTTCTTTATAAATTACCCAGTCTCAGGTATTTCTTTATAGCAACGTGAGAACAGCCTAATGTAGTTTGCAAAAGAGGCATGAAACAGTTTTGAGAGGCTTTATTACAATCATATGAAGGAGGTACTATTTATTATCCTCATTTTACAGATGATAAAATTAAGGCCTAAAAGAAGTTTGGCATTATTAGGGTACAAGAGTGGAGCAGATGGCTGCAGAAATGCATGTAAAACCTTAATACTAAGCTAACTGGCTTGAATTTTATCTGCAGTGCTCTCTGAGGGATTTTAAATGGGGAATAACATGATTAGATCTTTCCATAACATAAAAGATAGTGGGAGTGTCCAAGATTGAAATCAGAGGGCCCTATCTGGAAGCTACTAGGGTAATTCAGGTGAGAAATTATGAGCGCAGGAAGCAGAACTTGGTGGGTGACTATTTGGATAAGGAGGGTAGGGGAAAAAGAGAAATACAAGACCCAGTCCCAGGATTCTGAATCCTGCAATGAGGTGAATGACAGAGCCAATTACCAAAAAATATAGGAGAAAGTGGAGTAGGCAGCTCAGGGGAAAGTTCTTGGTGTCACAGTAACCACAGCTTCCATCCATCTATTTCTGTAGCACCAAGCACTGCTATTACTCCAATGCCCAGGCAACAACTAGAACATTACAGGGATCCTAGAGGACCTGGAAGACAAGGTGTGACCTACTAAGGAGCAGAACAAAGTGTATGCCCACAGACACCAGAAAGGAAAACTGGCTTTCTGGACTGCTGCAGATATCTTGGAACATGTAGGATCACAGAAGCTATTAACTCCATGGCATTCTACTTTCAGCCACTCTTATCAATTCATTCAGATTTAATGTACCTACAATACACAGACTGCACCATAAAACCAAAACAGGGAGGTCACAGTATGATGGGAGAACCAGCTTTCTGCTGACAGGGGCTGGCTCCAATGCTGGCTTGGTGGGAAGAATACAGGGAACCTGTCTCAAAAACTCTACGAAGAGGAGACACCTAGCCTCCCAACCTACATCTTTCTCCCATGCTGGATGCTTTCTGCCCTCGAACGTCGGACTCCAAGTTCTTCAGTTTTGGGACTCTGACTGGCTCTCCTTGCTCCTCAGCCTGCAGACAGCCTATTGTGGGACCCTGTGATCGTTCTTAATTATTGTAGGAACATAATACATGTCGGATTGGGCAGAGTGATTCCTCCAACTTTTTTCAAAACTGTATTAGCTGAGCATGTGGAGGCATGCATTGTGAATTTTAGCTCAAGATTGACTGCAAAAACCAGCAATCCGGAGAGGACCCACAGACCCTCTGAAGGAAGCGGACTGCTCCTGCAGGACCGGGAGACATCCCAAACACTATGAGTGCCCCAACTGTGGACGTGGGAAAGAAAGACCCTTCTCTCCCGAACACACACCCCCACTGGGGAAGCTGGTCTGTCTGCAGGAGAAATTTCTGACTTTATCAGGAGCTGAGTCAAGTTAGAGAGCTAAGCCGAGCGAAATACAGGGGTAGAGGAAGCAGCAGAAAGGCCCTGGGAGCTCACTGGGTCCCCAAGCAGCCCATACCTGCCTGGCACCACAGGGATCCATCAGGAGGGTGGCCAAAGGAGCAGGGGGTAAAATTCCACAGGGAGAAGGAATTCTCTAGCTGAACTTTGTAACAGTTTCAACTGGCCAGAACTCGGGGAGGGCATGAACCCAGCTTGCAGACTTCAGAGGTCGGGGAAGAACTAAAGCCCTTCCTTCTTTTGCAGCTGGGAGGTGGAAAGCCTCAGACAAGTTTTCAAGCCCATCTTGCCCTCCACCTGGAAACAGACTCGGGGCTATTGGAAGGCCACGGTGGGAGTGAGACCGGTCCTTCAGTTTGCATGGGAGCTGGGTGAGGCCTGTGACTGCCGGTTTTCCCCAACTTCCCTGACAACCTGTATGACTCAGCAGAGGCAGCCATAATTCTTCTAGGTATACAACTCCAGTGACCTGGGAATCTCACACCCATCCTCCACAGCAGCCACAGCAAGATCCCCCCAAGGAGAATCTGAGCTCAGATGTGCCTAGCCCCAGCCCTACGTGATGGTCCTTCCCTATCTACCCTGGTAGCAGAAGACAAAGGGCATATAATCTTGGGAGTTCGAGGGCCCCGCCCACCACCGGTCCCTCTCCACACTACTACAGCTGATGCTTTTGGCAGGAGGCCAACCAGCACAAAAGTAGAGCATTAAACCAAAGCTAAGAACCCTCACAGAGTCCACTGCACCCTCTGCCACCTCCACCAGAACAGGCCCTGGTATTCATGGCTGGGAGACCCACAGACAGCTCACATCACAGGACTCTGTGCAGACAACTCCTAGTACCAACCCAGAGCTGCGCAGACTCGCTGGGTGGCTAGACCCAGAAGAGAGACAACAATCACGGCAGTTTGCTCACAGGAAGTCACATTCACAGGAAAAGCAGGAGAGTACTACATCAACGGAACACCTTGTGGGACACAAAAATCTGAACAACAGCCTTCAGCCCTAGACCTTCCCTTTGACAGAGCCTACCTACCCAAATGAGAAGGAACCAGAAAACCTACCCTGGTAATATGACAAAACAAGGCCTGTCAACACCCCCCAAAAATCACACTAGTTCACCGGCAATGGATACAAACCAAGAAGAAATCCCTGATTTCCCTGAAAAAGAATTCAGGAGGTTAGCTGTTAAGGCAATCAGGGAGATACCAGAGAAAGGCAAAGCCCAATGCAAGGAAATCCAAAAAATGATATAAGAAGTGAAGAGAGGGCCGGGTGTGGTGGCTTATGCCTGTAATCTCAGCACTTTGGGAGGCCAAGGTGGGCAGATCACAAGATCAAGAGATCGAGACCATCCTGGCCAACATGGTGAAACCCCCTCTCTACTAAAAATACAAAAATTAGCTGGGTGTGGTGGCGCACGCCTATAGTCCCAGCTACTCGGGAGGCTGAGGCAGGAGAATTGCTTGAACCCGGGAGACGGAGGTTGCAGTGAGCCGAGATTGTGCCCCTGTACTCCAGCCTGGGTGACAGAGTGAGACTTCGTCAAAAAAAAAAATAATAATAATAAAAAGAAGTGAAGGAAGAAATATTCAAGGAAATAGCTTAAAGAAAAAACAATATAAAATTCAGGAAATTCTGGACACACTTTTAGAAATGCAAATTAACCTAATCCAACAAAGAGAAAGAAAAAATAGCAAGAAAACAGAACAAAGCCTCCAAAAAGTCTGGGATTTTGTTAAACTACCAAACCTAAGAACAATCAGTGTTCCTGAGGAAGAGGACAATTCTAAAAGCTTGGAAAACATATTTGGGGAATAATCAAGGAAAACTTCCCTGGTCTTGCTAGAGATCTAGACATGCAAATACAAGAAGCACAAAGAGCACCTGGGAAATTCATCACAAAAAGACCTGCACCCAGGCACACTGTCATCAGGTTATCCAAAGTTAAGACAAAGGAAAGAATCCTAAGAGCTGTGAGACAGAAGCACTAGGTAACCTATAAAGGAAAATCTAGCAGTTTAACAGCAGATTTATCAGCAGAAACCCTACAAGCCAGAAGGAATTGGGGCCCTATCTTCAGCCTCCTCAAACAAAACAATTATCAGCCAAGAATTTTGTATCCAGTGAAACTAAGTATCACATACGAAGGAAAGATACAGTCCTTTTCAGACAAACAAATGCTGAGAGAATTTGTCATTTTCAAGCCACCATTACAAGAACTGCTAAAAGGAGCTCTAAATCTTGAAACTAATCCCAGAAACATGTCAAAACAGAACCTCTT